TGCGTGTTGGAGAGCGGGGTCGGTCAGGGAGATCGTGATTTCGGGTCTTGGGATGGAGCTGTACGCGCCGGCTGAGAGGGCCGGGGCGTATTGGTTGCTCAGGGAGGCGTGTGAGGCGGAGCTGGATGTGAGGGATACCATGGAGGAGTTGTTGGTGCCGGATTCGCTCGCGCAGAGGATCAGCACGGCGAGGAGGCCTGCATTGATGGCGATGCGGTCTATTGCGCATGCGTTATTTCTCGTACGTCCCATCCCATGCTGTTTGTTGATCGCTGTTGCTGATGGGCGCACTCATAGATGACGCTCCCGACGTTCCTGGCGGTGGACCCGGTACAAGCCTCGTTGACGTACCACAAGCGGCACAAGCTATTCCTGCGCGAAGAGTACTCGCGATTACCTTCGCGGAGTACGTGGCCTGAGGAGCTTGTTCAGCCGCATTGGGGACAGTTCGTGAACGCGTGTGAGGACGCGCTAGGTGTCGATGATGACGATGATTACGACGAAGTGGAGAGCGTGCAAGAGGGTGCTGCAGAAGATGACCATGCGGTTCATGACGAGAACTCAGGAGGGGAGAGTGCAGAGGATGAGAGTGAAGATGAGGGGAGTGCGGACGCAATGCATGATGCGGCCGCGAGCGCCTCAGTGGAGGAGTCCGAAGAGGAGCGCCACGAAAAGGATGCTGAAGAGCATCCGGACCTGGATAAACCGGGAGAGCTGGAAGGGGACGTTGATGATGAGAGCGACGATGAGAGCGAAGCAGAGAGAAGCCCTCAGCGCGCGAACAAGCGAAGACGCTGGGGAACGGCGAAGGAGGAGCTGCAACGAGCCGCAGATCTACTCGCGCAGGTCGATGTCAACGCGATGCCTTTCGCCGCCTTACAACCCCAACCAGCCGATGCATCATCCAGTACACCACATCCGCCGCCATCTGCGCCGTCACTTCCTTGGACATCTGACCTTACACGGCTCTATGCATCCTTACGCACTACCGCTCTCGCGCTAGTGGAGATTGCACCGTCGAGCGTCGTGCAGGTGGCGGGGTTCGACGCGACGAAGTTGGATTGGAGGAAGGATAGTCTTGTTGGTGGTTGGGTACCGGGTGTCAGGGATACATAGACATAGTGTATGGACTAATGTTGTATCTTTATTGGCTAGGTATTTCATGTGGCACTTCGGGTTCGTGTAGGTCCGCAGCATTACCTTGCAGCGGCGCCCATGCGTGGGCTCGCTACTCATGTAGACGCGTTAAGAATTTCTCACCTATGTCGGTTTTCAATCTCGAATGACGACTACAAAAGTCTCAGGCGAGACCTGATGTAGAGAGTACATTTGCGTATTTGAGTAAGGGGAAGGCTGAAAGCAATCTGGACACGCGCCACGCGGCGGATGTGGCGAAGGGAATAATAAAGTATTTCGAGCGTACTTCCTACCCAACTTCCACCTCTACTTCCATCAGCCGCCATCGCCATGCCTTGCTGTACCCATTATTCTTCAGAAGCTTTCTCCTCTCGTCCATGTTGTCATGCTCTGTCTTGCCGCTAGGACCTGCAGGCCATTGTCACGCTCAAGTACGAAAGCGGCAACAAACGTTCACAATCAGCTCCTCGGCCCTTTGCCTCTCTCGACCATGTCCTCCGAATCATCGCCACCTTCACCCTCCAAGGACTTCGACATCAAAGTACCTTTAGAGGCCCTCGACACCACCGAGCCACCAGAATCCCCCGAGTCCTCAATATCCGATTCTGACGACCTCTCTCGCTCGGCCGAGGACACCGCCGAAGCGCCCGCGCCCGAAGACCCGAAAGTCGCGTCGCCCACGAGCTACGAACAAGCGATCGTCTGGTACGCCGGGCTCCTGCGCGAGATCTCGCCCTTCGACGAGGCCACATGGGACTACGACGTCGATCTGGACGAGCTGACAAAGTCGGACCGGTATGCGCTTCCGATCGAAGTCGGGGACGAGGTCTATGAGGAGATGAAGGAGCGCGTGGAGATGCTGCCTATCGAGCAGGTCGAGAAGGAGGCGGCGGAGGGCGACATGTGGATGCAGGTCGAGCTGGCCGTACGGTACGCAGTTTCACACCTGTACACTCGCGCGTCCAACCAGACTGATTTCGAATATAGATTGGTATGCGGCCTGACAATCGAAAGCGACAGCGCGCGCGCCGAAAAGATCCTCAAAGCGATCTGCAAACTGGACAACGACGCGCCCTCGACGATCCATACCCGCGCCGCCGCCGAGCGCTTCGACGCGTGGCTCGACTCCTTCATGTTCTACTCCGCAACACGCGACACAGACGAACCGTGCTACGAAGCGCTGTACTGCGCCGGCCGGCGCTGCGCCCGCGCGCTCTGGGTCGAGACCGTCCCGCCCAAATCCAAACCCTCTCTCATACCCTCCCCCATCGCGCCTATCGACTTGAGAGTCGCGGATGCGCTGTATAGGCATGTCGAGCAGGGGGACTTTGAGGGGAAGAAGTTGGATCCGACTGCTGATGAGAAGTTTGAGAAGTTGAGGTTGGCCTGGTTGGATTATACTGTGCGGAGGTATGTGCTGTTGAGGTATGGGCCGCGGGCGAAGATATGTGCGCATGGGCCTTGTGGGTCACGCGGGACGGAGGAGCAGCCGTTGTTCAGGTGTGAGGGGAAGTGTTTGCCGGGTTGGAAACCGTTGTATTGCTCGAAGGAGTGTCAGGAGAAGGTACGTCAACGAGCTCGTGCAGTATGCGCGTCTTCTGAACAGCGTGTATCTACAGGAAGCGAGGCAGCATAGAAAGTTCTGCAACGATACTGTTCTGTCCAGGATGCCCGAGAAGACGCTCATCAGAAGCTTATACAGCACGTCGCAAATGAGACGGCACGTAGGCAAACCCTTGGAGGTAGAGCATAAGATCGAACGTACTATATGGGTGGGCCTCGCTCGCCGTGCACTAGGCGTAGAGGACTCTGAACCGGAAGACTCATAACACCCATATGCGACCTTCCATGTTTACTCCGTGTGTATCATCACTCATGCATCATGTTGTATCTGTTATACCAGTGTCCTAACACCCATATCTGTATTAAGCATGTCTTACTACATACAGCACAGAAGTCCACCAAAAGATCAAAAACTACTTCCTACACCTATGACTGAAGCTGCACCTCGAAAGACTTATCAAACGGCAACCCCACGCTAATAGATACGGACTGCGAGCTGTTGTCAAAGGAGAAATCCGCCTTCTCCCCCGCCACGAGCGCGCCGGCCGGCGCGCTCTGCACATCGAGCACCAGCACGCGCGCGACGTTGACGCCCAGATCATACCCGAAAGTCCCGTTAACGTTGAGCGTGCCGTTCGCATAGGAGAAAGTGAGCTCGGTCGTAGCGTTCTGCTCGACGCTCACGCCGTCGTCCACGTACAACGATCCAGTCGCAGTGCCGTCCGCATCGGGCGCAACGAGCAGCTCAAAGTCCGTCTTCCTCAACTCCGTCGTCGTCATCGTTCCGTTCGCGCGGAGCGGAATCACAGCGCCGCCCCGGATGTGCAGCGGGATCTGCGTATAGTCCACGTCGTCCAGCTCGAGTGTCTGGCCCGTGCTATCGATCGCGGCGCCGGTCATGAAGTCGTAGAAGCGGCCCGCGGGCAGGTACGCGGAGACGGAGGTCGAGTTTTCGTCCGTTACGGGGGACACGAGGATCGAAGGGCCGTAGAAGAATTGGAGGTCGATGGAGGGGGTGGAGGTGTCGTTGGGGTAGTGGAAGAAGAGGGGCGAGAGGACGGGCGTGCCGGAGAGAGATTGGGTGTGGAAGGCGGTGTAGATGTAGTCCATGAGGCGGTAGCTGGGGTGAGGTGGGTTAGTATGGAGAGGGGAGGGGTGAGGGGAGGGGAGGAGGACTGGACTGACCGGATGTTGAGCGCGTTGCGCGCGGCTGTGGCGACTGTTTCCCACCTGTAAAACTCCTGCGAGATCGACGTGTCGCCGTTGTGCTATCCGATCAGTTAGCATACACCGTCAAGAGCTCCAGTACCAACACCGTCGTACATTACGCATAAACGGATAGAAAGCGCCCAGCATCGCCCACCGCGCACAAAGCGTCTCCGTCGTATTCGCCCCGAACCCACAGATATCCGCGCCGACCATCGGCACCTGGTACACCGCCGCCATGCTGAGGATGCCCTGGATGGAGTTGGTGTAGTGCACCCAGTCGGACAGGTTGTCGCCCAGCCATTTGCCGACTTTGCGGCCCGCGCCGGCGAAGGTCGAGCGCGTTATGACGAGGGTGCGCAGGCCGGGGCGCCGGGCGAGCATGGCGTCGTGGGTGGCGACGGACATCATTGTGCCGAAGATGTTGTCTGGGCGGGCGGATCAGTGGGCGTTTAGGGAGAGAAGGGTGCTGCGTACGAGTGTCGTACTCCAATAGGCCGTTGTAGTGCGAAGCGTCGGTCTATAGCCAAGGTCAATGGCCGCTCTCATCTGCAAGCGATTGAACATACGTAGGCAGTGTTGCTGGAAATGTTGCCGGCGGCATCGTTGATGGCGTATTGAGGGATCAAGAGGTTCTCGCCATCATGGTTCGGAACTGCATCACGCTTCTTGAGCGCGCTCACGGCGCCATTGAAGAGTGGCGCGTCAGGTGCCGGCGGAGAGGAAGTGCGCGCGGGAGGGAGGTCCTGGATGACGGCTTGTCCGAAGGGGTCGTCGCAGGGAAAGACACAGAACTAGTCACCAGCTCAACAGATGTAGAGGGCGTGAGAGAGGCAGCGGGACGTACGCTTGCAGGCTCGTTCATGTCGATCCAGACACCATCGATATCAATACCAGCGTCAGGGCTGTAGAACAATGCGAACTCATTGTTCCAGTACCTAGCAACAACTTATGAGCGAGTGAAGTTAATACAAGCACAAATGCGACACTCACTCGGAGATGTTAGGGTGGAACCAATCAGGGTAGACGGTCACACCGGGCCAAACAAGACCGAGGCTGGCGCTTCCGTTGGGCGCTTTGATCCACACGTCCATGTCGGTACCGCGGTGGTATGGGGCGTAGTCCTCGTCGGGGGTATAGGCGACAGCAGGGTCCGTCATGACAACTGTAGCAGAGAACATGAGCACGGTAACCGAGAGGGTCTGAGCTACAGACGTACTGTACTTTTGGTCGTTGGAGTGCAGGTAGTCAACGATCTCGCGAACACGGTCCATGGGGAAGTACTCCGGGTCAACAGTGAAGATCCTGCGCCTGTCCATGTAGTCTAAACCGTGCGTTAGTCCCAATCAACTCGTCAATATACGCATGCGGACGTACCGATGTCGGTCCACATGGTCTCAAGAGGGATCTCCGCCGCAGAGTAGTTCGTGATCACGTCCGCCACGTCGATGTAGTCTTGTGAACATCACCATCAGCTCATGAGCCTTTCGCAAGTATCGTAGTGATACATACTTTGATAGCCGAAACGGCACTGGTGAAAACCGAAAGACCAGTAGGGTACCTCCGCCGGTGTACCGACGACCTCGGCGTACTGCTTCGCAACCTCGACGGGGCTGGTCTCGCTACCAGCAAGGAAGTAAAAGTCGAAGAGACCACCGATGACGTTATACTCGAGTGTAGTGTTGTCGCCCTCCTGAAGGATCTTGACGTCCATGCCGTTCGAGTTGAGCAAGAACGCTCCGTGCGTGCCGCTTCCGGGACGGTGCTCGAAGTAGACGGGGTGGTTACCGTACAGGTTCGTGCCATTCGCCACGCCGTACGCATCGCGACTCCAGAGGGTGAGAGTGGTGTTCGTCGGGTCGAGGCGGAAGGAGTTAGTGTGCTCGCCGAGACCGTAGATGTTCGCATCGGGCGGGAGCGTCGTCTTGAGCCTCAGATACTGCGGCTCAAAGATGAGAGGGTGCTCGGCGGTCGTGAAGAGAACTTCGGACGTTGATGAGCGGAGGATGGTGAAGGAGAAGGGCGACGCGGTGTAGTTGAACTGGATCTGCGCCGAGGAGGGGTCGACGGTTTCGTTCGCGGACGGGCGCGGAAGTACAGAGTCCGGTACTTCGTACCGCACGTTGTTCGCGTCGGTGATCTTGACATGGATACGCGTGTCTGAGACGTTCCAATTAGCGAAGTCCCCCGCACGGAACCAAGATATACTGACCAGTTTCATAGGTCACGTTCAGCTGAAGTGTCTCAATGTCGTTTCCGAAGACGTTGCATGCAGGTCCCGCGAGGGAGAGCGTCGCAGTCAGACCACTGTCCGTAGTCGAGACGTCAGTCGCGTTGTAACCAGGGCAAGCGTCGAGTGCGGCCGGGTCGACGTCCGCAGCGCTCACGGCCTGAGCCGCGAGCAGGACCGACGCGCTTGCAACCGCAGCGCGCATCATGGACATGCAGCACGAAACTCGAAGAATGAACCGAGGACGAGCGGGAGAACCGCGGATACTCATTTCTTCTCCCGCTTATATACGAAGGGTGGTATGTTCGAAAAGCGCGTCATGGACCCATGGTCAGGAGATCAATAGGCAATATGCACGATGTATGCGGGACGAGCCCAGCGCATCTGCGCGTGACCGAGGAGAGCATGCTCGCGCCCTGACCCGGAGACGTTGCGATCGATGCGTAGCGCCTACCGTTGCCCAGATGGTAAAAACTCAGCAGATACCAAGCCTAAGATGGAGATAGGCTCGGCCTAAGCGCCGTAGTCGTCGGACGGAATAGTCGCTCTGCCTTGTTTGGCGCTGTTGTGACGCTGCATTCGACTGGCGTATTTTAGAGGACGAGGGATGAGTGCGTGCTGTTCTGGAGGTCTAAGTCATGACAACATGTCCAGCATATGTATTCAGCATCCACGAATGGTACTGCGAGCGGCTAGAAAGGGCCATGAGCGTCGAGGTCAACACCCTCCACGTGAAAGTTGGCCGGAGAAGTCGGTATGCGGGCCAGGCACAATGCGACGAACCGCGGCACCGAGGCGCGCGCCCATCGCTGCGGGCGCGTGCTGCCTCTCACCGTCACCTGCACCATCGAATATACGCGTTCATGATGCCTCTCTGCTGCCACTGCAGCCTATACTGCTCATAACGCGCCGACCCCGACTCGAGCCATTACGAGTCAGAATATACGGCGCTCAATCGTCCGTGTCCGCATGGTCAATATTCGGCTCGAAGACATTCGCTGGAAGCGCGCATCCAAATCTTATTCCAGCGAGTTGAAAGAGCCGTATATCACATAGCCAGCGAGGCTAGTGTGTGTGACATCTGCATATGTGTTGGCATGGAGTCATCGAGAAGCGCGAGCCTCCCCCTTCGGTCTCACAATGGGCCTGAAGCGGCCCAGAGGCCTTCGAACACAACCACACATCACAGAATGTAAACCTTTGTCTCGCCTGGTTCAAGGGCCTTCCCTATAACTTCTCTACGGGTTGCGTCTCAAGGTCCCTGCCCTCTCCTCACCGACTACGAGGCGCCACTACAAACTACTCCCAATGCCATATATTCAGCCCGGTCTGCGCGTCTACGCCGAGTACCTCAGCGAGATCACACCTGTGGACTACGAAGTTGACTCTCCCACAGACGGGTGGCGTCTGGCCGATCTTGATCTCGACTCGCGCGCGGCCAGTGTGGTTCGGATCACGCCTGCGGTGCTCGCGCGTGCGCAGGAGAGACTCGACCTGTTGCCGCTGGACGTTGTGGAAGATCTGGTGGATCATGGAGACAACGACATGCTCGTCGAGCTCGCACTGAGGTGTGTGGTGGTCTTCCTTGCGTCTGATGGGCCGTGCTGACATCCGCAATTCCAGATACTATGCAGGTTGCACACTTCCTCAAAGCACCGAAGCGGCCACTCGCCTGCTCGCGCACGTCAATATAAACCTCAAGTCCGAATCCTTCCACCCAGACCTAGACGTGCACGTCGGCGCCGAGCGTCTCCGCGCACGCATCGCGTTCGGCGAATACCTCTCGACCACGAACGTCTTTGCACTTCAAGATGCCGGCGCGCGGGCAGACATTGCAGCAGCGGCGTGTAAGGACGAGGGCGATTGCCCGTCGCAGCTGAGGATTGCCGCTGCGCTGGAGAGGCATTGGCAGGATGGGGTGTTCGATATGCTTGGATGGTTGCCGCCGTGCGAGAACTACGATGCGTTGTGGATTGCGTGGAGGGAGTACTGTTCTGCGCGGCGGCGGAAGCTGTCGCTGGGCGTCTCGGCAGTCGAGTGTGCGGCTCATGGATGTGAGGCGCGCATATGTTGGGGGAAGCCTCTTGCGCGGTGTGGAGGATGGTGCCCGCTCGAGCTCAAGCCGGCATATTGTTCGAAGGAATGCCAGAGACAGGCGAGTCCTTTCACTATTGACTTGCGGGCTATGCTAAATGACTTACAGGATTGGAAAGCCGCGCACAAGCCGGAGTGCTTTGCCAGCGGCCAGCTCGCGCAGCCGGTCTCGGGTTCTGGCTCGGGGTGTAATACGCCGTTGTTGGCTCCCTTGTAGATGATTTGGCTGTTTCGTCACCTGGCCTGATTGTACTTCGCACGAAACTTCATACACTCCTTGCAACATATGATGTCTCAAGTAAGAGTAATTCTCACTGAGAAGAGTATCTCAATGTTTGTTCGATTTCGCAGACGATGAAAAGGCAGTTGAGAATGCTTTGTGCCAAAACTCAGATGTATTCCTCGGTATATGTAACACTAGATAGCGACTGAACGAATGAATTGTCGCAATCCGTGATCCCTCGCTCCTCTAGATGTATCCCACCATAGTACTTGGTGAGCGCTGAGGATAGTCACGTCTGATCCCGAACCAACCCAAGAACTTATCCATCACAGTTTCCCCTTCTACCCCCTCTGCTCCTGCATCCTCAACCATTCTCTCCACTTCCGCCTCAGACCCTTCCTCCTCTCCCTCACCCCTCCCGCCCTCGTTCTCGCTCCGCGTTCCCCCACTCGTTGATAAGATAGATGCAGGTGTTCGGTAATGAGTCGCATCGCCAGGTGAAGGCCGCCGCTCGATACATCGAGCTACCCGCTTCGACGCGCGCTGATCAGCGTCCTCGATATCAGCCTGACGCTTGCGCTTAGGCGTTGTACGGTTGATGCTATTGTCCATGGCAATGCTTTGTGCATCCTGGCGGGCGTCGGTGATAGCGTGGTGGCCACCAGATGTAGATCGAGCATCACTGCGCGGGCGCTTGTTGCGCGTCTCGTCCGCGTAATCTTCCTCACGAGGACGTTTTGACGCGCGGGAAGACGAGCCAGAGTCCGTCGGGGCCGAGAGCGTCGGAGAGCTATGCTTCTGGTCGTCCACCAAGGCTGGTGTGTGGTGTTTGGGGCTGTCTCTTGGTAGTGTGGGTGGCACGTCGGCATATCTGCTGGCCGAGAGCACACTTCCCGAATGATCAGGAGCGAAATCAGGACGGCCAGTGTCTGAAAGATATTTCAGGTAACGTTCCCGACGCTTGCGCCACGGCAAAGATGACCGGCAGCCGTACGGTGTGGACGAAATCAGAGGCCAATCTTCGTGAAGCCCTACAGGTAGATGATGGCAGTAGGACCATCTCTTGATTGGTTCGGGAAGCTTGAAGCCGGAGTATAGATTGACGAGGCTCGTGCCATAGATTATATTGGGGTCGTCGCGCCGCATGCCTTCGGTTTCCGAGGTCAATTTAACTCCCCACCGCCAGCCAGGTATGAAAGGTGTTTTCTCTTCGCGATCCAAAGGTCGTGGAGGCGGCAAGACCGGCGTTCGGACCCGACCAGGTCTGTCAAGGACACCGCGATAGATCGGCATTCGCTCCTTGGGAGAAGTCGCATCGACAGCTTGTTCCTTGTCAGATCTACAGACAAGTTAACTCGGAGTTGAAGGATAGCACTATGGCGAATATTACCTGATCCGTCGGGTATTCCTTATATGACCACGTATGCGAGTGAACTCGTCCATGGCCTCCCTTACCATGGAACCGATGGGAGAGTGAGCGGTAGAGATATCGGGAGACGTATGTTCGCGATACGTAAGGGCAAGCGTTGACTTGCACGCGTCTCGCGAGCGCAGGCCGAAGGGGGCAAAAGTCAAATAGACCACATCCTCGTCCCTCAGAACGCGAGCCTCTCCATCAGAGAGGCGTACTAGATTGACCTAGGGGAGTCGATGATGAGCATGTGGTGCTCGACGACCGGCGTGAACATTGACAAGCTCACCCATGTCCCATTCACAGTTTGCAAGTCCGTGATCGTCAGGCAGATCCCATCCCACTTTAACGAGCAGTGCTTCCTACCTATAGGTGGGCGTCAGCTAGCACGACGGTAGAATGAAGATGTCACGCACTGAGATACTGGGAGAAGGGTCCAGAAAGTACGAGTTCGTTATCGGGGGAACAGCCGATAGTATACTCTGCAGGATATGCATTCGCATAGAATCTCAGAGCTCCCAGAGAAGCCTTCAGAAAGGGTGACTGCTGCGGGGCTATGCATTGGGGCGGGCTCGGTAAGGTTTGCTTGGCCCACGCGCCAGAACGAGACGACGACGCGATGGGGGTGGACAACGGAGTAAGTGATAGAGCAGAGGTTGTAGACATGGCTGCTGGTTGTTGAAGGGCGATTTCGGGTGATGTCGAGGCGTAATCGTCGTCACATCAGAGGTGGCGAGGATCCCAATCGTGGAACAACGCCTTTTGTCCTTGTGCTACTCATGGAGTGTCTATAGTCCTCCCGGCGAAGAATTGGGTTTTGCCCTGGGGTCCCTGGTTCGGTCGGAGTTCATACGGCTATACTTGTAACATGTCCCTAGCATACCTCATACAAGGCCGTGTGTGTCTGCCAAGCCTCGAACCAGGGACGAACAAGACAGAACGATAGTTGAGCGCACGCCGCACGCCAATCGCCATTGGCCAACATCTATCCTGGGAAACGGAACGGGATATTCCGAGCCCCATGCCGCGAATAGACGTCTCGTTCGAAGCCTTGATCAACGCTGCGACCTACTTCATCCTGCGTTCGTCTGACCATGTCCGTGATCTCATCAACGTGGTTGCGAGGGCTTTGCTGGAGGCAAAAGTGGCGCGGGCTAGTGCCCATGTCTGCTTGTCAGATGGCCGGTAGCCTTGTTCTTGCCCCGGAAGCTCAACCTGGTCATAGCCCAAGTACCACCGCGCTCTCACGTTTTTATCCTACCACTTGGGTGTTGTCGACGCCAGATCGTCGTTATGGCGACTGAGCTCTTGTAGAATAAGCCCGGGCGTTTTCGTATGGCTTATTCTTGTTCGGCTTTGGCCTCATGCTGCGTGCTCGGCGACGTCTGCGCCAAGGGCCGGTGGTCAAAGTCGACACGACTATAAGAGGATAACGGAAACTCGTCCTCTCTCATCACTCTTGTCTCGTTCTCTGAACTGTCAACTCTGCCTCTGGACCAATGTCAAAATCTCTCCTGAAGACGCTGAGCCTCTTCGAGAGTTTCTCCCGCTCAACACAAACGAACTTTATCGCCGAGTTGGTTCCCCTGGCTGAGGACAACAGATGCGACGAAGACTTGTTCACTCTCTCCCCTGAGAAACCCACCAAGCGCTCCAGGGTGATTTTAGATCAAGATGGAAAGAGTACGATACTGCTGTAGCTCTCCGGCTACCACACGCGCTCATTCCAGCCCTGTAGAGCTCTTTTCCATCTCAGAGCGATCGTCGAGCTAAAGCTACCTCCCCAACATGTTTATAATCACGAGGCTTTCTCAGCATGTTTTGTTAGGAGTGAGTGTGGCTCACTCGCCGCTGCATGTGACACTGACGTTTACTACGTACATAGGTGAATGACCTCCTAATCGATATTAAAGATCCCACGGCACTACAGGACGGCGACATACTTCAAGTCAGCGTACATGCGAGTCGCCGTGATCCCGACGTGGTGAACTTCGGTTTCTCTACGCAATTGATTTTCCGCGGCAAAGAAAAAACCTATAAGGTACTGCCGCCGAGACCTGGGGTAGCTAGCGTCGACCCTCTCTGTCGCGACTTGTCTACAAAGGTTGCTGTCATCGTCAAAAAAAGATCGCACGGCTCTCAAAGGCCCGGACCACCGGCCGAGGCTGACGCCTTGAGCCGTTTGTGGAAAGGTGTCACAACGAAGGATCCTGCGCGACTACCACTGATTGTGGGCTTATACGATAAGTGGTGGGATGAAAAGGCTCATTGTAATCTCCATCATCCGCTCTTCGCTCAACTGCTCCTGACTACGTATGATCTTTAGATGTTGTTACTCGTGTTGACAAGTACGTTGGCAATATAAAAGGACTGGTCTCTTACAGGGAGCTTTTCGATGAAGTTGGCCTGAGTCAGTCTTCTTTGCTTCAGCGCTGTTGCCCATCTGAGAAGTACCTAGTGGAGTCATTCGTGCGCGGCATCGCTCGTCAAGTGCTCCAGGCGTTGCGCGTGAGTCCCTATACGATGGAACGAGTACTTTCGCTCACAGCGTCTAGTTCATTCACGCTCGGGGAGAGATTCACTGTGGTCTAAGACCAAGCAGCATCCAGCTCTTTAGGTCCGAAGAGCTCAAGGACGAGATCAAAGCCATCGTCGCTGACTTCGAGCACTGTGTACCTGCGTCGGCTTCTGAGCGACAGAATTCAGTGGAGGTGAGTGGTATTCTTGGTAGCAGATTCGTGTTCGTTAATGAGTTCTGTAGATAGCCTTGTCGGGACGTCTCGAGTACACCGCTCCTGAGATACACTGCTCGCCGCGAGCCGACATCTGGGCTTTCGGTGCCATCATTTTTTTCGCGTACGTGCCGCCAGATGTATACTTTCGAGCTCGCAGGGGCTATTTCAGGCATTTGACTAAATAACAACTTAACAGGCTCGCCGGCGTCAAAGCTTTCGATGAAGCAGATGCTCCCGACATGCTTGAAAAGGCTGAAAGTGGGCATCACTGGAGTACGTTAATGACTCGGAGACCGGGATTGAGCGCCGATGGTAATTTCTCCTCTACGAATGTGTCCCCTTACGGGCTAACGCATCTTGCAGCGCTAAGCTTTTTGAAGCAATGTCTAACCGTCGACGTCGCAGCCCGCCCAACGGCCGCGGAAATGCTCGATCATCCATGGTTGAGCTCCTCTGAAGGCGGCGCTTTCACACCGGCTTCACATCCGACCCCGTCACAAGCCGAGTCACAGGCGTCTCCCCCGGACGGTGCCCTCCCCGGAGACGTCATCACACCAAGACAACAGGCGCTGCTGGTAGCCATAGGTGACAACGTGCACCAACTTGTGGAGGAGGAAAGTCGCCGAGCAGAAAAGAGATCGCGTAGCGTTGACTCGGCTCTCGGCACGTCGAAACGGCCTCGTTCGGAAAGCTACGCTGCAGGTAGTTGGTTATCACTGTCAGGCCTTTTTGGGCGTGGGCCGAGCGCTTAGCTTGGCACAACTGTACTTGTATAGTAAATGAGCGAGCTTGTACGCTACGGTACCCCTAATGATGCGCGGACGCTACGGCTGTATATATTCCGTATACTTCAACTACTAATGCTTGCGGGCTTGCGTGTGTGAACAGTGGGAGTCGATGGGCATCGAATGACATTGAAGGCACAAGCCCATAACACGTCAGCAAGTACTTATAGAAACACTCGGATATGGTGTAACGGCTAACATTGCCGGCCTCTCGTTTTGGAGCGCGCGGGCGTCGTTGTGGGCACGGGTTCGCTCCCCGCTCAACGCTGCCGGGCTCGCAAGCTCGCCGCGGCAGCGTATCGCGGGAATCGAACCCGGCCCACACGACGCAGCTCGGGGTTCGATTCCCCGTATCCGAACTTTGGTCTCTGGAAT